AGAGAATGAGAAAGTGAAAGTGAAAGAGAGAGAGGGAGGGAGAAAGAGAGAGAGAGAAAAAGAGAGAGAGGGAGGGAGAGAGAAGAGAGAGAAAAAGAGAGGAAGGGAGAGAGAAAGAGAGACAAGGGGAGAGAGAGGGAGGAAGAAAGAGAGAGAGAGAAAGAGGGAGGGAGGGAGAGAGAGAGACAAGGGGAGAGAGAGAGAGGGAGGGAGAAAGAGAGAAAGAGTGAGAGAGAAAGTGAAAGAGAGGGAGGGAGGGAGAGAAAGAGAAAGAACGAGAGAATGAGAAAGAGAGGGAGAGGGAGAGAGAACAAGAGAGAGAGAATGAGAGAAAATGTGTGTGAGAGAGAGAGGGAGGGAGGGAGAATGAGAGAGAAAGAAAGAATGAGAGAATGAGAAAGAATGTGTGAGAGAGAGAGAGGGAGGGAGGATGAGACAGAAAGAAAGAACGAGAGAAGGAGAGAGAGAGAGAAGGAGAGAGAGAGAGAGAGAGAGAGAGAGAGAGAGAGAGAGAGTCGCCCTTTGGAAGCCTTCTCTCTAATTATCTGCCGCCCAAAAGGGAAATTCCCGTGGGTCCTTTTGTGCCCAAACAGCCGGTTTGGCCTTCCAAATAGATCCCTTCCCTTCCAGGGCAGAGATGGGGGGACTCCAAAGGTTGCAGAGACTAGACGGGGTTTTTTTTTCTTTCCACCCCCCCAACCCCCACTGGAACCGGCTCCCTCCTGGTCCCCGCCCCCCCCTTGCCACCCAGGGCCTGAGGCACAGGCAGAAACAGCAGCCAGCGCTTCCTCTCCCCCCCTCCCCGAATCTGAGCCCCTTCCTCCCCACGGCCGGTTCCCACACTGCCCGGTCACTCTTTCCATGGGGAGGATTCTGTTATCGCTTCCCACAGGCTGCGGACCGGCCGGCTGCTTCTTGGCAAGCCCGAATGATCCTCACACACAACACACACACACACACACGCACACACATACACACACAGCATTTCCAAAGGGAGGAAACAGAGCTTGGAGGGGGTGCAAAGGAGGCGGTGGGCTCTCTGCAACAGGAAGGAGGGTCCGGGGACGGCTACCCTGCCCAAGCACTTCCAGCCCCTTTGAGCTACGGAAAGATCACCGCTGCCCCCCCTCCTATGCCCCCCCTAGAGAAGGGCAGAGCCCTGAGGCCTAAGGCCAGCAGCGGGCAGGGCCTGGTAAACGGGGCGATGAAGAGGAGAAGCAAGGTTCAGAAGTCCCCAGGTGTGCTGGGACCCCAGAATCCAGCTCAGGGGCTCTGGGAGCTGTGCCCCCTCCCCCCCCAAAAAATAGGGCAGCCGAGGTTGTCCAGTGAGGTGGGGAGCTGACCCCGACAATCAAGGGCTTCATCCGGAGGAGCCACCGCCCTTCCAGCGGGAAAGGCAGCCAACCCATAAGTCATTTTTATTTATACAGCCTCGGGCGTATAAATATATTTATTTAGAAATGTCCCAAGCAGCCAGGGGCACGCACCCATGAGAAGGTATCGCTTTTCGAGGGCCCCAAAAATACACCCGCGCGGCAGCCGAGGTGGCGGCAGCACGCCCGGGTGAGCCAAGATCCTTTCCGTGCCCCGTGCCCACCAATGCAGTCCTTGCCCGGTGGGCAAGTGAGGCTCAGATGCCCCCAAGGGCATCCCTTAGGGAACGAAAGACCGAGCCGGCTTTAGTTGCGGTGGGCCAGCCCTGTGCCCAGCCAAAACCTCTGGAGAGCAGCTGGAGGGGTCCTTCCTCCCGCAAGACCCTCAAAGCCACCTCTGGGGACTGGCACCTTCCCCCCCCGGAGGCACCGTGATGGCAAAACCCGGCGGTTCGATGCAGGGCCTGGTCCCGTGACCAAGCAGGACAGACCCAGGATATCTCTAGCCCAGAGGCTCGTTACAGCCCCCAACCTTGCCCTAGTTCAGGGGTCTTCAAACGTGGCCCTTTTTATGACTCGTGGACTTCAACTCCCAGAATTCCTCAGCCAGCGTGCCCGCTAGCTGAGGAATTCTGGGAGCTGAAGTCCACGAGTCATCAAAGGGCCAGGTTTGAAGACGCCTGCTCTAAAGCAATGTTTCCCAACCTTGGCGACTTTAAGATGGGTGGACTTCAACTCCCAGAATTCCTCAGCCAGCATGCCAGGCTGAGGACTTCTGGGAGCTGAAGCCCACGAGTCATCAAAGGGCCACATTTGAAGACCCCTGCGCTAAACAGGGGTTGTAAGTGGAAGGCTACCTGCACACATGCACACCTGTGCAGAAATGGCAAGATACACAGAGGTCACGTAGTCCACCCCAAAGGTATTGAAGGAAACACAAACGCCCCTGTGCATTGGGGGAGGGTGAACGATAGGGAGGAGATGGCAGACTCCAGGGGGGGGAAATAGAGTTTTCCTCCTGTTCCAAACTCCAAAAGTCCACAAGTCATCAAAGGGCCACGTTTGAAGACCCCCTGCCCTAGTTCTTCTCTGGGTCCCCATCCCCTGCCCTCTTGCCGATTCTTTCCCTGCCTAGGACAGAACCATCCTTTCCAACTCCGGTGTGTGTGTGTGTGTGTGTATGTGTGTGATTTCTCTCCATCTTGCTGAGCCTCTTTGGGGCTGGAAACAGGGGTGGGTAGGAAGAGGCTGGGCAAATAAAAATGAAGAAATGTAGTATTTTCCTTCACCCCTAAAAGGACGTCCTGACTGAACTAACAGAGCCGAGGAGGCAGACCCTTTATCGAGACAGGGGCGCCCTGAAGACGTCGGTCCCCGATAGGTCTGTCTCCCCCCCCCGTTTTAGTCCCGCAGTCCCTCCCTCTTCGGCAGGACCGTTCGCCCCGCTCTTACTTCAGGGTCCTTGCCAATGTGGGGCAAGGCTCTGGGACCCCCTTGTGCCCAAAGCTGCAGCTTTGTTGGAGCCTCCCTGTGGGAGCAACAGCCCAGGCTGGGCATGGCTGGGGTTTTAGGGCACCTTGGCAAGAGACAAAGATCTGGGATGGATAGTCTCCCAGCCCCAAGAGAGAGGGGGCAGCCTCCATGGGGCAGGGAGACTATTAATACAAGCTCAGCTATTTCCTGCCGGCTTGAGCTACAGGACGTGAGGCCAGGAAGATGTTTCCTGCCTGGAGATCCCAAGCCCGGGTCCGTCTGTCTGGCAGGGATGCCGGGTTCAAGCGAGGCGAGGGCCCCTAGGCCCAAGGGGACGGCGGCCCCACGCCGCCGAGGGGGAAACGGCTTTGCTTCTGCGGTGGGGAGGTGCCAACAGCCCAGCCGTGTCCGTCTCCTCTGCGTCTCCTTCCCGGGCAAACGTCCAACGTTACAAGTTCAGCCCGGAGGGGGGCCAGGCAGAATTTGGCACTCAGAGGCCTCCGTGCAACATCTGGGCAAGATGCCCACTGGCCCCAGTTGCAACCTGTCTGCCCAGATGAGGGAGGAGGGATGATGGGGAACACGCGGGACCAGCCTCGGGGGGACAGAAGCAAAGCCAGTGGCAGGTGATTGGGGAGGGGGCTAGCCGCTTTGTGGCTAGCGAAAGGGCTGGCTAGCCATTTAGGGAGAGCCAAACGGAGTCAAGGCATGCGCTGCCAGGCCTCCCTTCAGCCCAGGCAGAGGGGCGACTGAAAACCCCCCCCCAAGGGGAGAAAGCTCTCTGCACCTCCAGCTTCCAGGTATTTCCTTCAGGCATTCCCATGCGTGCGTCCCTTCACTGAGTCAGATGCCAGGAATGTACACACCAAACAAAATAGATGAGAAGGTTTAAGGTGATCCCAAGAAGAGGGCGAAGGAAGAGCTAGGCTCTGGGGGAGAATGCAAACCCACGCTTTTGCACCAATTTCTGATCTGGTAGTGCACAAACGCTCTCTGAAACACATGGGGAGAGAGAGAGAGAGAGAGAGAGAGAGAGAGAGAGAGAGAGAGAGAGAGAGAGAGAGAGAGAGAGAGAGAGAAAGGGAGGGAGGAAGGGAGAGAGAATGAAAGAGAGAGGGAAGGAAGGAGAAAGAGAGAGGGAGGGAGAGAAAGAGAGAGAAAGAGATAGAGAGAGAATGAGAAAGAGAGAGGGAGAGAGAAAGAGATGAGAAAGAGAGGGAGGGGGAGAGAGGGAGGGAAGGAGAAAGATAGAGAATGAGAATGAGAAAGAGAAAGAGAGAGGGAGGGAGAGAAAGAGAGGGAGAGGGAGGGAGAGAAAGAATGAGAAAGAGAGGGAGGCAGGGAGGGTGGGAGAAAGGGAGAGAGAGGGAGGGAGGAAGAGAAAGGGAGGAAGAAAGAGAGAATGAGAAAGAGAAAGAGAGGGAGGAAGAGAGGGAGGGAGAAAGAGAGGGAGGGAGAGAGAAAGAGAGGGAGAGGGAAGGAGGGAGAGATAGAGAATGAGAATGAGAAAGAGAGAGGGAGGAAGAGAGAGGGAGAGGGAGAGAGAAAGAATGAGAAAGAGGGAGAGAGAGAGGGAGGGAGGGAGAGAAAGAGAGGTAGGGAGAAAGGGAGAGAGAAAGAGAAAGAGAGAGGGAGAAAGAGAGACACACAGAGAGAGAAATTAATTGCAAGGGAGAGAGAAGACACAGCGTTTGAAAAACCCCAGTGCACGGAGGGGGGCAGTTAAAACATTCCCAGCCCCTGGTGGCGTTGGGGACACGGGTGGTCTGAAATACGAGCCCAAGGGAGAAAAGGGCTCCTTAAGTCGCTTAACTATGTTTAATTGCTAACACGTGAGCGTTCAAGGATTTGGGGGAGGCGGGACCACTGTCCAAGGAAGGCGATGCCGCTTCCAGGAAGCCCCGGAGGCAGAAAGCAGGCCTGCCCAGTCGGTGCCCATGCCCCAGCCGTGCCAGCTTCCTCTCCTTGACCCTCAGACCGGCTCGGAATAGAGTTGAGAGCCTCGGGTTATTCTCTGCTGGAGCTTCTGGTCCAAAAGCAGGGGCGGACGTCCCTCTCCCAGTCTCCCTGCCTAAATTATCCTTCTGAGCTCACTCAAAAATAGCAGCCACCAGCAGGCACAGGGAGTTGGTTGGGGAGGGAGTGAGGGAGGAATAGATTTACACACACACCCCACTAGGAAAAGAAGGCATCTTTCGAGAATTCCCAGCCGCCCAGTCAAAAGGGCTTTGATGCCCACGGGAGGCGGCTGCTTTGGGGGCCCGGTTATAACTAACTGCCTCCTCCTCCTCCGGCCTCATTTCAAATGCGCTGGACTGGCCGGTGATTGGGGGCACTGGTCCAACTCCTCTGGAGACTGGGGGACGGGGAAGGGGGGGGTTGGTCAACAGCAAGGCAACACCCCTGGAAAGAGGTTTTCCCAACATCTGGTGGGAAGGAAGGATCCACAGGTGTGGGCCCAAGGCCAGCCCCCACCCGTTGGAGGGCAGAAAGCCACTCAACAGGGGAGGATTCCCGGGTCCGAGCTTGCCAGCCCTGCCGGTGGGGAAGCTGCCTCCAGCCCGGCTTCCCTCCTCCCCAGCCCCACCGCATCACTGGCACGGCTGCCTGCCGTGGTCCCACCCCCTGCAACCTGCTTATCAAGCATTCCTCCCGTGCTCTTTGCCCTCTTTGCAGCCAGCGGGGAGGTGGGGGGGAGAGCAAAAGGGCCTCCCCAGCTTAACCCCTTGCATCGAAACCACACACCCAGGAAGAGGTGGGGGAGGCATGTTTGGCCAGCAGCCTCCCCCCCCCAAGGAACGTGCTCCGCTGGGGGAAAAAGGCCATCGGGGAGGGTCTCACCTTGGAGACCCTGCCCCCAGCACTTGGAAGATCTCATGGGCAGAGAGGGAACCCACAGGGAGCCCCGTCCAAGAACTGGGTCTACCTGCGGAGTGCTAGGAGGGAAAGGGGGTGCAGGACATGGGGGGGGGCAAAGCATCCCATCCCAGGTGGGGTGCTTGACAGGTATAGCAGCTCAGCAGCTGGAAACGCCCCTTGTGTGTTTCTCCAGATTCACTGACGGCAGGAGGATCCCACCCCTCGCTTTCTCACCCCACTGAGAGTCCTCAAAGCACCTGAAGAATGAATGAAGGTTGCAAAACAGGACGAGGACCACACAAAGATCTTGTTTGGTGAGCACCGCAGCCCACAACTGGACAGGGCACAAGAGGCAGCCGTGTTCGCCTTTTTGCCTGCCCAGGAGAGTGTGGCTCAAAATGCTCTACAACCAAACCTACCCCTAGGCTAACTGTTCTCTCTTTCCCCCCCCCCAGCCCCGGGAGACGCAAGACTGCTCAGGGACCCCCTCCCCAAAGGTGATGGGCCGGAAACCAGCCCCTTATTTCGCAACCGGCACGCAAGAAAATCAAAGCAGGCGAGTGCAGAATAGGAAAGTTATTCTAATATCCTTGCGGTCTGCAAAGACAAACTGCAGTCTGGAATACAGTGTTCAACCGATCAACTGCCGACTGAGCAAGATGGAAAAGTCATCTACTGGTTGAATGGCTTTCCCAAAGGAGCCCGTCTTCTGGAGCAGCACAACACACACACACACACACACACACACCCTCAAAGACTAACAGGGCTGAGATGAAACAATCGTCCACAACAGACTGGACTGGGAGAAACCTAAGCCAGTTTTAGCAGCACTTTTCTCCCATCCAGGCAAGCAAGGGAGACCCTCCCGGCATTACGCTGCACACTGGGGCAGGCAACGTGTGGTGCCATCTTTCACTGCCTGCCCAAGTGCTGGAATGCCCAGAATAGAAGGTGGCAAGGACCAGCTGGAGAACAGGGCCAAGCAAGGCCGTGCCCAGGCAGCAGGCTGGGCACGGGGAACCCAACACCTTGCCCTCTGCTTGTCAAACGGGGCCGGCTCTTTGCCTCTGGGGTGCCCAGAGCCCATCCTGCCCACTCAGCCTGCAGCAAGGCACTGCCGGGCCCCCTCGGCCCCATCCTGCCGGACCCTCGGCCAGGCTGCCCACAAGGCTGCAACTGGGCAGGCCGCCCACCCGCCCGCCCATCAGGAATGCGCCCTTAAGACCGGCCATCCAGGGAGGGGCCGGGAGGCCGTGGGATCTCTCCCCCCACCCCACCCCACCCCACCCCCGCCAAAAGTCAGGCACACAAGGGCGCCCATTGTTCGCCAGGAGCAGGCAGGGCCGGAGAGCCGCCTGGACGGGGGGAAGGAGGCTGCCCACCTGGGAGCAGAGCCCGGCGGGCAGGCAGGCAGGCAGGAAGGAAGGACGGAGCCCGACGGCCTCCGGCCCAGCAAGCGGAGGAGCTGCCGGGCCAGGGACCGAGGAGAGCGCTAAGCCCTGGCCGGGCTGGGTTGGCCAAGGAGCGCTCTCCCTGCGGGAAAGCAGCGCCAGGGGCTGCGCGGGAGTCCTCGAGGAAGCCGGAGCGGGCGCCGGCTCTCCTCCAGCCGGGAGCCCCGAGACGTGGCGAGGGAGGCCGGGCGCGGCTGAGTCAAGTCCGGGCGGGCAGCCCAGCGCCACGCATGGAAGCCGCCGCTGCAGCCGCCGCGTTTAAAATTAGAGTCCCTCGTCCTCCCACTCCCCCCACCCCCACCCCGCTCTGTCCTAGGCGCGACCCCCGCGCACCCCCAGCCCTGCCCCGCTTACGCTCAGCACCGCCGCGGCGCAGACGGCCGCCACCAGCGCCCGGCCCCGGAGCAGCATCGCGGCACGCCGCGCTTTCGCCTTCGCCTCCCGGACCGGCCCTGCTCGCATCGGACGCCGCTGCTGCTTCTGCCGCCGCTCGCTGCCTGGCTGCTGCTCCGCGCGGCGAAAGGGCGAGCCCGCGCCAGCCCCAGCCAAACTTTTTTCCCCGGGACTCTTGGCCCCGCCCCGCCCCGTCGGCGCCCCGGCAAACCCGGCCTGGATTCTCCGGCGGAGGCGGGGCGGGCTCGGAAGCGCCCCCCACACACACCGCTCTCCCCCTGGACACGCCGGCCCCGCCTGTCCCGCCCCTCCTTGCAACTGGCCCGGCAGCAAGAGAGGCAGGTGGGAAGGGGAACCCGGAGGTCATCTAGCCCAGTGGTTCTTAACGTTGGGCGGATATTGCCCCCCCCCGGGGGCGATTTCATTTTTCAGGGGGGCGAAGAAACTAAAAGGGGGCGATATGGGGGCGATGGAGCGAGAAGTTTGGGGGACGCTTTTTGAGACTTTTTCGTACGGTGAATGGCTGTATATCTGTCGTGCGGAAACATCAGATCGCTCGCTGGTAGTGGACTGAATTGTGTTTTCAAATATTCCTCCAGCTAGCTTCAGTACAGAACGCCGTACAGATGTGAACGCGCATCGCTTATCTTCATGCGCATTGCGCAGCAGCCTCTACCCACGCAGTGGCGCGCCATTAGCCAGAGTATGGGAGATATGGGAAAAAGACGAAATAAATTATTTGCATCGATATGTCCTGATGACAATTTTAAAGAAAACAAAAACCAGTGTTTGCATAAATTGAAGAATTATTTCCTATGTTGTGATTGAGAGGGGGCCGATGACAACTTCCTCATTGGCTCAAGGGGGCGATTTGTTCAAAAAGGTTAAGAACCACTGATCTAGCCCACCCCTGACGCCGCTCTCGGCCTCTTCTGTTCTTCCTCCTCTGAGCTGTCTTCAAGAGGGGGCCACTGCTTAGACATCCAGGAGAGGCAGGCTGCCTTTGATCTAGGACAGGGGTCTTCTAAACGTGGCCCTTTGGTGACTGGTGGACTTCAACTCCCAGAATTCCTCAGCCAGGCACGCTGGCTGAGGAATTCTGGGAGTTGAAGTCCACCTATCTTAAAGTCGCCAAGGTTGGGAAACATTGCTTTAGAGCAGGGGTCTTCAAACTTGGCCCTTTGATGACTGGTGGACTTCAACTCCCAGAATTCCCCAGCCAGCGTTGCTGGCTGAGGAATTCTGGGAGTTGAAGTCCACCAGTCATCAAAGGGCCAAGTTTGAAGACCTCTGATCTAGGAGTTTGACTGGCAGCTGTGAAGTCTTCCCCCTCGATTGCCATCCAAACACACGAGAGGGGGCTCCATATTG